TTTTTTTTTTTTTTGTCGTAGTTTACAATGAGACCTTTTTAAACATGTTTTAAAAAATTATATTGTCAGTAGTTGTAAAAAAAGTTTTTCAGTTTGCAAACACTTTGATACAGAACGTTTATCTTTTTAATAGATTAGGTTACAAAGCATTAACACTGAGCCGGACTTCTATCAGTGCTACTTTTAGTAAAGTATATCAACAATGGATAGTAAGCACGGGAGTTCCTGTTTTCAACAAAATTATTAAATTGTTAAACATTCTTATATTTGACTATAAATTAGTGAACAGGCATCTTCTCCTTATATGCTATCAATTTTTCCTCTCCTATGCTTTTATGATAATTGAATTTTATATTCAATCATATTTCTTTAATCAATGTGAAATTTATTTTACTGCTGCCAAATTAACTTTAATTTAAATCCAACTCTATTGTGCTTTGCTGCAAAGAACAGTTGCAGAATTGATCGTGAGCAGTGGCCCTGTATGCTGTTTGACGATCAATTAACCATTTCTGCTTACTCTCACATTAGGATCACCATCGGTCCTAACATGGAGGAACCAGAGAAAACAAACACCAGCAATGGGAAACATGCAGACTTTAAGGAAGATCCTCTTTTCTTTCAGTAAGCAGCTTTTATCTGAATTCTCACATTAGGCGCTTTTACTTTTGCTTTTTGGTATTGACAATCCTGAATATATTGGCATAATTTACTACATTCAAATGTAAAGCAATGTTTTGTTGGTTTTCTTGTGACAGACTAAAACGTAATAGCTCATATAAAAGGGTAAATAAAAATTTTAAAAGTGTGTTTAAGACAATACTGAGGCAATACTTAGTGGAATTTTAGCCCCAATGGATAAGACATGTAGTTTTTTTTTTTACAGGTACAGGTCTATTGTGGTATAATGCTTCAAGCTTTGGATTTTTAAGTTCTGCAACAGATTCTCACTTGGATTTAGCCTAGATTGTGATGCACAGACGTGCTAAGCATAGTTTTATAGCTCTTGCATGTTTGTTGTATGTTTAGGAATATCTTCCTGATGGACTTGAGTGTCAAATTTTTTTCTGCCTCTATAACATATTTTCTTCCAGTAATTGCCAAGTATTTAGCTCTACTCTTCTTCTCATTAACTCTAGCTATCTTTTCTCTCCCAGCTAAAGGGAATCATTCCCATACGATGATGTTGCAAACACCATATCGCACTATGGGGATGGCTTTTTCAGGGGGGATATTGCATTTTTCTTTCCACTCTTCCATATAGGCTAGATTTGTGGCATTTATGTCCAGTATTTTTCCTAAGCACAGCTGGCTCCACCTGAGCTGTTGATCTCTACATGCCCTCCAATGCTACCACAGGTTCTCTAAACATCTTCTTATCGTTCTCTCTAACAGGTATGCTTTGTTCCTTAGTCTTCGTGATCCTTATTTTTCACTGGTGTTCTCTAACAATCTCTTACTTTACACTTTATTAAGTGAAGCCTTTACCTTTGATCACATCTTATTTTATTTAGGGGCATCAGAGGCTAGATACGAAAGCATGCCACATATTTAAAAAATGTTTTCTTTTTTACTAAGAATATAACGTATTACTTTCCTTCCACTTCACAGGTGTGGTGCAGCTCTAAATTTAAAATCTCTGTAAAATACACTGACAGTTGCGATTGTGATGTGAAAAAAAATCGAAAGCTTACAGGGTGTGAACACTTATCCAAGGCACTTTAAATGAGACATTCCTCATGTATGTGTTTTACCAAATATGGTTTTGCAATGTGAACTTGAAAGCCTAAGAGTTGAAACGCAAGGACAGTTCCCTTTCCCTTTCCATCAGCATCTTCCTGTCAAAGACTAGGCCAAAGATCACAGGTGTCTACATCACACTTCCTGTCACTGCATGTTTCCTTCATCCTCTTTCCAGCAAAACGTCACACAAGCTTCATTTCTGTGTGGTTTGTGGTGGAATTTCATTGTTTTCCTCATTATAATTCACATCAACCTGCTGGATCAGACATCTATCTAGAATCAATTTAAACTCTTAGTTTATGAATTCAAGAAAAAGTAGTTGCTACTATAACAAACTCACCTATTTTGTTTTTCCTATTTAAAAACTTTTAAACCCTGATATGCATTGAAAAAAGCCGTCCTTCCCTCTCTTTCTACCAATCTGTCCCTTTCTTTCTCTCTTAGCCAGGATATAGGTGTTGTCCAAAGCAAAGGAAGGAAATTCTGTCACTTGGAACAATAGGCCGGTTACTCTATCTATAGACCCAGAGCAGCTGAGAACCACAGAGCGGGACAGTAGATCTTTTTCACTTAGAAAGAAATACTTGCTGAAAATATTTTTTGGATTATTTAAAATAGAAAAAAGACAAACATTTGTACTGTAGTAACCGTGACGACGGACCAAGGCCTTTTAAAAATGGATTTTCGTGGCGAGGAGAAGGAAATGCGCACAGTTATTGGACTTCTTTGAGCCCTTCATTAATTTTTGGGTGGCTACGGATTATCTTATCGCACTTTACCAAAGTAAAAGTGGGTAAGTTTATTCGACCCTAAACAAGTTATTACCATCACTTCCATGAAGACTTAAAAGAACATATTTGAGGTGTGGATCCTTGTGTCAGGATGTGAGGAGTCAGAGACGGACATGGTTTTTCAACAAAGGACTAATGATTATCTTTAACCCCAAATTTTGATTGTAGGCAAAAAGAAAGCAGTTTTTTTTCTATATATTATTATTATTGTTTGTTTTGTTTTTTACCTAGAAAAAGGATTTAATTACTGAGGTTTCTCAAGAACCAGAGGGGCAGTGACCTTTGGAGTGGGATTTTCCCGGTCTCTGCGACAGCTGGACCTGAGTCCTACAAAATATGCTTCCTGTTTGAGAATGGGAAACACACACACTATGATTTTCAGGGGCTTTTTTGGTGGGGTGGACAGGAGACGGGAGGATTTCTTCTAGTTTGTTTACACCATATTCATAACCTGCTGTAGGTATCCTGTTTGTATTGTCTTGATCATGACATCATCCCATTGTTATATTGTTTTCTGCCCTGGCATCAATCACACACGTTCATCCGAGATGGATTAGAGAGAGAAAATGGAATAATAGAAATGTTTATCTCTCTGAATAACATGTGCATCCTTTTTGTTTTGGGTCAGATGGAGGGGTCTGGCAGTCCTCGCTTCAGAAAGCTTCATTTCCCAGTTGGATTGTGGATCAACTCTCCCAGGAAACATTTCGCCAAACTCGGGCGTCGTTGGCCCAGCGCCATCTCAGTCAAGTCAGTGTAAACTTTTTTTATTTTGTTATCTTCAGCTTCCTCATCGTGTGCATTTTACAGGACATCAATGCCAGTTATCATCAGGGTAGGATCCAGTGCCTGATAAGGGGTTGTTGAAAGGCCCAGTCTGTGTGTTGATGCCATCTTATCTCACTTCCACTGTCATTATATCCTGTCAGCCCTGTTTGCTTCCCCTGTTTTATTTTAGTCCTGGCTGTTTTTCAGTTATAATTCACAGCTGACTCGTCTCTCCCTTCCCTCTTGTCTCTAGGTCGACTACCAGTTCTGACGCTGCCTCCCTCCACGAGGCCCCTTCTGCTCCGTCCTCTTCCCTTTCCAACTCCACCCCCTCGCTGGCTTCCCCTTCTCCATCCCCATCTCCTTCCCCGGCCTTCCTCAGGCCTCGACCGGCTGGCCCCCAGTCTCGGACCAAGCGTATTTCTCAGCTCTTCCTGCGGGGGCGCTCCAACAGTGACCGGGACCGGGCCATAGGGGAGAGGGAAAGAGAGGTTTGGGCTCTCTCTGCTGCTCCATCATCCCACCACTGCTTGCCTGTCGCCTCCTCCTCGGCCCCGGGCCTAATCAAGATCTATGGGGATGCTTTCGCCAGTGGAGCCAACTATCGCTCCCTGCTGGCCAATATTAACTCCACATCCAGGCAGCTCATCGCTCAGGTGATCACTAGATACACTGAAAGAGAAAGGGAGGAGACTGAAGATGCAGGTATGATATCTTTCATTTGGACCCCTGATGAAATCCCTCATTTTCTTATATCTGGAACCAACCTCCACTTTGCTTTTATACAACATGACTTGTAAAAGTAACCAAACCTTTTCAACTTTTCTTGGTTTTCCTCTTTATAGGCTTCAGTAAATTTTACAAAACGTTTAAACTGAAAAATGCGATGTAGCCACTGTTTTCACTCCTCTTTATTCTGATATCCCCCTCCAAAAATTCAGTGTAACAGGTTTTCTTTAGAGGTTCCATTATTGCTTTGCAAGCACCTTCATATGTTTTAGGTTTTATAATGGAGAGCTTCAAATTAGTTTTTGTAGTTCTTACTTGGAAGGCTACTGTCCCAGTTTAACAAGCATCACCCATGCATGTTTCCATCATATAAAGATGTCTGAAAGACTAAAGGTTCTTACCTTCCATGTAGTCTGAGGTTCTTACTGTTGATCACATTAAAGAAGAAGGCAACAGGAAATAAGAGCTACAATTAGATGCATTCAGATAGTGTCCTGTACATATTGAGGCGGTAACTCACTCATTTGATTCAGGTGTATTGGACCAGGGTTGCATATAAAAGTTCCA